AAGCGGGACTGACCTAGGGTGAATTTTAAATAGGGATAATTTTTAATGATTTTTAATAAGAGACACAGCTACAAATATTTGGTTTTAATTGGCTTTTATTGGGGAAATGTGCTATGTTGTTTTAATATGCTGTGAGCCGCCCTGAGTCCCGTGGGGAGAAGGGCGGCATATAAGTCAATGTATTAAATTAAATTAAATAGTATGTAATATTACTTATTTGGGAGAGGGAGAGTATTTTTTTCTTCTTTTTGATTTATTGGATGTTTATGTTGTTTGCCATCCAGAGTTACACTGTGAGTTCGGTGACCTTATAAACCTTGAAATATATAAAATTAAATAAACTACAGGGAAATAGATTGAGGTGAGATATATAGAAGAACAGAATGACAGAGTTGGAAGGGATCTTGGAGATCTTCTAGTCCAGGGCTCTTCAAACTTGGCCCTTTTATGACTTGTGGACTTCAACTCCCAGAATTCCCCAGCCAGCCTATGCAATTTTCCAGCCTTCTTTTTTTTTTTTGGAAGAAAAAGTCATTAAGTGAACGCAGCAAATTTCTCCAGGCAAAACATGTACTCGGCCACTGAGCTACATAATTTATATAGCTGCCATATAATTTATGACGAACTTCTATTCCAGGGGTCTTCAAACTTGGCCCTTTTATGACTTGTAGACCTCAACTCCCAGAATTCCAGCCTATGCTGGCTGAGGAATTTTGGGAGTTGAAGTCCACAAGTCATAAAAGGGGCCAAGTTTGAAGACCCCTGTTCTAGTTCAATCCCCTGCTCTTGATCCTAATTGCCATTATAGCCGCCTTTATGTGAGACAAAGCAGCCTTGAACACGATAGGATTGTCTGCTGAGTCAAACACTAGAGTAGAAGGTACCTCAGAGGTCATTTAGTCGAACCCTCTGCTTTAGGACAAGAGCTGCTAAAACATTTTTTAGCAAATGGGGAACCAGGCTTTGTTTCAAGATCTCCAGTGAAGGAGAATTTACCACGAGGCAGCCTTTTCCATGGGATGGTAGCCACTAAACAAACTTGTTCTATGTTGAGGACTACTGAACATTTCTAGGAAATAAGCCTGTATAATAAGCATTCCTTGTTATTTTGAGGAGGGGAAGATTTGATTGGTGGGTAGCTCTTATTACTAGGCACCATGGTACTGTAGTAATAAATAGCTCTTGTTCTTTGTTTGCTTGCTTAATTCAGTTTAAAGCAGACATGTCAAACACAAGGCCCGGGGGCCGGATGCAGCCCGCGAAGTGGTTTCATGTGGCCCGCGAAGCCATCCTGGAAACAGTGAGGGAACGGCCCCCTCTGCCTTGGCCCTGGCCCAGGCTGGCCGGGAGCCAATGTACAATTTTGTGGTGGCCATCTTGGCACTTGCCCCGGTGGACCATGCCTTGGCACTTGCCCCGGTCCCACCCCCTTCTGCCAGAGACCCTCAGATCTGTCCCACTCCTGCCCAGGCCCCCACAGGCACCCTTGATGCAAATGATGTTGAGCTGGCCATGCCCACCCAGTAGGCCACACCCACTCCATCCAGGCCCACCCAGTAGGCCGCACCCACCCTGGCCACACACACACACACAACACCCCCCCCCAGGGCAACCGCAATGCTGATGCGGCCCTCAATGAAATTGAGTTTGACACCCCTGGTTTAGAGGTTGCTCATCTCAGCTGACTTTGGGCAGATTACACTATAATAAATATGGAAAAGCAAAATGGAGAAAAGAAATAACGCGTGTCTGATAAAAAGGCAAACAACACCACACATAACACACCAGAGAGCAACTCTGATGGGGTCTCCCTAGCCACCTTGCCCCAAAGCCTGGAGAAACAACCAGGTTTTGAAGTAATCTTGGAACATCATTGGTGCAGAGGAGACAGAAGGATCTCTGGGGAGAAGCTGTTCCAGAAGGAAAGTCCACACCGCGTTACGTTGATTAGTAGATGTGTAGTTACAGCCTCAGAATGACGCTTTCCCTTCTAATTTCTCCACGGGGAGTTTCACGGTATTGCATAAGCTTTGCCCGTTAAGTGTGAATTTGATTTAGAAAGAGTTTGGATAGCTTCATGGTAATCCATTCTTGGAAAATCAGCACAGTACATAAGAAGCAGATGTGTTACGCAAATCACAATTGTGGCCAGTTGACACATACTAAGACACAGACCTTAAACACACAGGCTCGTTCAAAAACTATTTAAGGAAGTGGTTGAACTCTTTTTAGACTTGGTTGCTGTTTACAACACTGTTTCTCAACTCAGTTCCATGAGTTCATGACTGGAAAAAAAGTAAACTTTAAAAAAAAAAACTTTGCGCACCACCTAATACTAACCGTGACAACGGGGAATTTTTACGTGTTGTGAATCCACTGCTGGTTGCGGTTTTGCTATCGCTTGTTGAACATAGATTACAGGTTCAAAATTAATTATATTGAGAAATTCAATATTTTCCATCATTTTTATGCAGGGGTCCCTTGATATCTGAATTCCTCCCTTCTCAGGTTGAGAGGGAAGGCCTAGTCCAGGGCTAGGCAACCTTGGCTCTTTTATGACTGGTGGACTTCAACTCCCAGAATTCCTGAGCCAGCATGGCTCAGCTTGGAAACCTCTCCCTTTCCCCTCAGCATGGCTGGCCCAGGAATTCTGGGAGTTGAAGTCCACGAGTCATAAAAGAGCCAAGGTTGCCTACCCCTGGCCTAGCCTAAAATCTCCAGAATTGTGGTCTCCCCACTCCTAGTCCAAGCTTTCCCTGCTATTCCTCGCTGGTTCTGGGGCTGAGAAAGGAGGCTTGCTCAAATCCCCTCCCCATGGAGCTGCATGTCTACAGATAGTCCTCAATTTATGACCACAACTGAGCTCCAAATTTCCGTTGCTAAGCAAGACAATCTTTAACAATGTCTTTCTTGCCACAGTTGTTAAGTGAATCACTGCAGCTGGTTAAGTTAGTAACCCAGTTATTAAGTGAATCTGGCTTCCCAATTAACTTTGCTTGTCAGGAGGTCGCAAAAGGGGATTACATGTCCCCGGGTCACTGCAACCGTCATAAATATGAGTCAATTGCCAAGCATCTCAATCTTTCTCATGTGAGCATGAGGATGCTGTAACGCTCATGTGAAAAACGGCCATCAGTCACTTTTTTCAGTGCCGTCGTAAGTTTGAATGGTGACCAAATGAAACTTAGTCACCCCACTCCTAAGACTCTAGAAAGAGTACAGAGAAGAGCAACAAAGATGATTAGGGGACTGGAGGCTAAAGCATATAAGGAATGGTTGCTGGAATTGGGAATGTCTAGTTTAATGAAGAGAAGGATGAGGGGGGACATGATAGCAGTGTTCCAGTATCTCAGGGGCTGCCACAAAGAAGAGGCAGTCAAGCTATTCTCCAAGGCGCCTGAAGGCAGGACAAGAAGCAACGGATGGAAACTAACCAAGGAGAGAAGCAACCTAGAACTAAGGAGAAACTTCCTGACAGTTAGAACAATTAACCAGTGGAACAACCTGCCTCCAGAAGCGGTGAATGCGCCAACACCGGAAGTTTTTAAGAAGAGACTGGACAGCCATTTGTCCGAAATGGTATAGGGTTTCCTGCCTGAGCAGGGGGTTGGACTCGATGGCCTCCAAGGTCCCTTCCAACTTTATTATTATTAGTGTTTTTCTCAACTTTATGATGGGTGGACTTCAACTCCCAGAATTTCCCAGCCAGCCAAGTACAAATAGTCCTCGACTTATGACCACAATTGAGCCCAAAATTTCTGTTGCTAAGTGAGACATTTGTTAAGTGAATTTGCCCCATTTTACGACCTTTCTCACCCCCGTTAAGTGAATCACTGCAGTTGATAAGTTAGTCACACGGCTTTTTAGTGAATCTGGCTTCCCCGTGGACTTGGCTTGTCAGAAGGTTGCAAAAGCTGGTTACGTGATCCCAGGACTCCGGCGACTGTCACCCATATGAACCAGTTGCCAAGCATCTGAATTTTGATCACGTGACCTTGGGGGATGCTGCAAGGGTCGTAAGTGCCAAAAACAGTCCTAAGTCACTTTTTGTAACTTTGAACGGTCACTAAAGGAATGGTTGTAAGTCGAGGACCACCTGCGCCAGAAAGTCTCCCCGCTCCTAAAATTAATGTTTTTATCAACTTTATGATGCGTGGACTTCAACTCCCAGACTTCCCCAGCCAGCCAAGTACAAATAGTCCTCAACTTACGACCACAACTGAGCCCAAAATGTATGTCGCTATGCGAGATATTAAGTTAATTTTGCCCCGTTTTGTGACCTTTCTTGACCCAGTTGTTAGGTGAATCACTGCAGTTGTGAAGTTAGTCACACGGCTGTTCAGTGAATCAGCCAGCCATGTATCAATTCCACATGAAACATGAGATCCTTTTTAAAGAGGGGAAGCCATTACGGCAGGGGTCTTCAAACTTGGCCCTTTTATGATTTAATAATAATAATAAAGTTGGAAGGGACCTTGGAGGTCATCTAGTCCAACCCCCTGCTCAGGCAGGAAACCATTTCGGACAAACGGCTGTCCAGTCTCTTCTTAAAAAACTTCCAGTGTTGGAGCATTCAGTGCTTCTGGAGGCAGGTTGTTCCACTGGTTAATTGTTCTAACTGTCAGGAAGTTTCTCCTTAGTTCTAGGTTGCTTCTCTCCTTGATTAGTTTCCATCCGTTGCTTCTTGTCCTGCCTTCAGAATAGCTTGACTCCCTCTTCTTTGTGGCAGCCCCTGATATATTGGAACACTGCTATCATGTCCCCCCTCGTCCTTCTCTTCATTAAACTTGTGGACTTCAACCCCCAGAATTCCCCGGCCAGCATACTTTAAGACAGGGGTCTTCAAACTTGGCCCTTTTATGCCTTGTGGACTTCAACCCCCAGAATTCCCCAGCCAGCATACTTTAAGACAGGGGTCTTCAAACTTGGCCCTTTCATGACTTGTGGACTTCAACCCCCAGAATTCCTCAGCCAGCCAGGGCTGGCTGAGGAATTCTGGGAGTTGAAGTCCACAAGTCATGAAAGGGCCAAGTTTGAAGACCCCTGCATTAACAGGCTCCTCTTTTCCCCTTTTCCGTCCACCCCACCTCGCCCCCCTCCCCCAGTCCCGCTTCCTAGAGAGGCCAGGAAGTTGTGGCGGGGAGGAGGGCGGGATGTAAACAGTTCCAGTCACTTCCGGCCCCGCCTCCCGTGGGAAAGTGGCCTTTGAATTTCCCAGCTCGTGGGAGGGAGAT